GTGCTCACTGGGCTGATCGCGATAGAAAGCAACTCCATTTTCCATGGGGTGCAAGCGGGCTTTTGTCTTTACAGAATGTTCTAGAGTGTTCACAGTCCCTGTTTCTTTAAAGAGAGGGAGGAAAATGGCCCAAGGTCTGCAGCGAGGTGGAGTGAGACCACGAGGCAGAACAGAGCGGGGCCTGCCTTTGGGATCCGGAGGGTTGCATCTGGGCTGAATAAGGCGGCGGTTATGGCACTTGATTGGCGGAAATGCGGGAACCGGGTGGCAGCCGCAGGGACTTTGGCAGGCCCAGCCTGGGCAGGGGGAGAGGCATCTGCAGCTTTTATTCTTTTCTGACTGTTCATAAAAATAACAATAGCTGTGTTCTGAGGCGCCATTAGCACGCTCAGGTTAAGATGTTCTGCGCTTTCCTTCCCATGTCTCTGGCCGGTGACGCACCAGCTCTCATGTGCACGTTTTTCAAACAGGGCTAAATGTGGCCCTGCCACGTTGCACCGCGGTGGGAATTCAGTGAGGCTGGCGACGTGGAGGGCTGACCCCACGTCTGGCTCACGGTGAAAGTGCAATAAATAAACTAGCTCGGGGTCTCCCCTTCTGCTCTGTGGATGTTTGAGGCCGGATCGTTCTCTGGGGTGGGGCCGTCCTGGGCACTGCAGGTGCTGAGCCGCGTCCCTGCCTCCGCCTGCTCTATGCCAGGAGCTCCCTCAAGCTGTGACAACCACAACTGTCTCCAGTGTCCTTAGAGGGCAGAGTCACCCGTTGAGAACTACTAACTTAAGAGATCATTTAGGAAAATAGCTACCTTGGCCAGGCCTATTGCAGAGGCTGTGTGAAGATTAGACATGGTGGCCCAGGAATGGCCTGGCAAGGGCCACTTGTCACAGTGCTGCACCAGATGTCCCCACTGGACAGCCCCCTCACAGAGACCAGAGGCTTGTCCCTCAGGCTGCACAAGGGGGGGTCCCCACCACCAGCACCCCCACTCACCTCGGCCAGCCTTCCCCCGGCTGGAAGACACGTCCTCTGAGCCCGGCATCAGCTGACTTGCTGTAGAGGGTCCCATAGTAAGTTTTGTGGCTTTGTGGGCCAGTCTGTTGGGGGCTTCTCAACTCTGCTGTTGTGGCCCCAAAGCAGCCATGGACCATCCGTAAGCGGAGGGGCGTGGTCTTGTCCCAGTATAACTTCATAAGGACACATGCAGGTCAGAATTGGCCCACCGTGGCTGCAGTTTGACAGCTAGACCCTGTGCTAAGATCCAGCTTCCGTTGGTGTGTCCAGGTTTTACTGTTAGGAGCAGCCTTGCTGTGGAATGTGCTAGAACAGGTCCCCCGATGTGCTGTGTTGGGAGAGTTTTTCTAGGTCAGGGGTTGCGTTCCCAAACTGTTTTCGTTTCAGGACTCCACTCTGGCCTCTAAAATGATCGAGGGTTCCGAAGAGCTTTTGCTTAAGTGGATTCCGTCTGTTGGTTGTTAGCGTGATACAGGTTGAAAGCTGGGAACGGTGTAGAGCACAGGAACACACGCGTGCAACTTCCTTTAGGCGACAGTGTGGTGCTGCTGTCCCTGCTCATGCAGCCCCCGAATATTCCTGCCCCTGTGAGACCACGAGAGTGAAAATGGGCAGTGACAGACATCTTCATGTCACTGTGACAACCGCACTGACCTCCAAAGCGCTGCTCTGGGGCGAATCCTCAGCGGTGGCCCGGGCAGGTCGGAGGGCAGAGTTCACTTGTCACTAGTGATCCATCCCCTCTGTCCACAGTGTGCTGGGGCGTGACGAGAGGGGTCGTGCCTGTCTTCGAGGTGCTGTGTGCTGTGCCGCCGCCTCCCCACGTGTGCGTTGTGTCCCCTCTGCCGCGTCTGGGATCCTGCCTCGTAAATCTTCATGTCTTCCGTCTCTCCGTCCGTCTGTCCTGCGTGCACCTGGGCTTCCCGCAGAGGCCTGGAGCCGGCTGAGACCGGATGGTGGGGGCCGCGGCTGCCTCCCCAGGAAGGCAGAGCGATGTCTCACTTCCTTTCCCTCCCCCGGGTCTGGCCGCCAGGCCCCGCACATGCTCTGTTCTCTCTCCCCTGCAGCTGGCGGGGGGTACCTCTCGGTGTGAGGCTCACACGGTCCTTGTTGCGCCCCTGTGATCTGGTTTCTGTCCCTGAAATCTCTCTGAGCCACTTGCCAAGCTTGGTGGCATTTACTTCCTGCTCTGCCGTGCCTCTCAGTGGCATTTGGCACCCTGAAAAATAACCCCCTAACGGTGGCTCAAGGGGGTAGAAAGTGGGTAGAAACAGTGGGTGTGGTGAGCTTTTAGCCTAAATTTTCAAAAGAAAGTGACATACTTAGTTGTCCAGCTGTGTCCGTGTGTGTTTAGCTTTTACACAATGCCTGTGGTACGAAATCCCAAATGTCCAAAACGCAAGGAGCAAATCTCCCCCTAGCCTTGGCGCTCAGTACCCCCCCCCCAGCAGTAACCTGGCTCCTTCTAGAGGTGTTTGGACGTATTTGTGCACGTTCCCTATGTTTTTGTTACCAATCAGAACGTGCCGTGTTCGTGCCTTTCTTTGCCCTGAACTTTTCATTGAGTAGCTCTGTGATGGTTCCATGTCAATGCCATGGCTGCTTTGTTTCTGTGGTGGCTTCATAGACCTCTTGTTCGGATGCATCATCGTTTATTTACCTACTTATTTATTTTCTCGAGGCAGGGTCTCGCTCTGTTGTCTGGGCTGGAGTGCACTGGCGTCACCGTAGCTCACTGCAGCCTCCGACGCCTGATTTACTGGTTTATTTAATATTGCTGGGCTTTTGGTTGTTCCTGGCTTTTTTCCCTCCCCCAGTAAGTTCAAGGTTGCGGTGAACACCCTTGTACATATGTCTTTCTGCGTATGATTGAGTGCGGCGACAGGCTACGTTCCTTAGGGTGCAGTTGAGTCGGAGGTTGAGTAGGTACCTTTTAATTTTTGATGATTTTTTCCTACCAGCAAGGGCAGGGGCTACTAGATGGGTTTTAGATTAAACCACTCCTTCTAGCGGGCACAATGATAGAACTTGAGTTAGGGCCGTGGTGATACCATTTAATAGGAATGTTTCCTTGTACTAGGTTCAGTGACTTAAAAACTTTCCCATCATGGAAATTTGTAATCATTTTAACCAACCAAGAATAAAGGGTATAATGGAACTCTGCACCCATCACCCTCTACAATAGACCTCAGCTGTGCCTGATACTTGTTTTCTACCCACCCACTTAGCTCTACCCTCCTGGATCATTTGTTTTTTTTTAAAGAGACAGGGTCTCGCTCTCACCCAGGCTGGAGTACAGTGGCGTGATCAGCTCACTGCAGCCTCCAACTCCTGGGCTCAAGTGATCCTCCTGCCTCAGCCTCCCGAGGAGCTGGGACTACAGGCATGTGCCACCATGCCCGGCTAATTTTTTCTATATATTTTTAGTTGTCCGATTAATTTCTTTCTATTTTTAGTAGAGACGGGGTCTCGCTCTTGTTCAGGCTGGTCTCAAACTCCTGAGCTCAAATAATAAACCCACCTCGGCCTCCCAGAGTGCTGGGATTACAGGTGTGAGCCACCGCGCCTGGCTAATTTTTCTATTTTTAGTAGAGACGGGGGTCTTGCTCTTAACATTAGAAACCCTAAGATAAGGCGTGACTTTTCTGTGCTTTGGTTGTTTTTTTTTTCTTAGCTTTCATTAATGTCATTAGCCTGAGGCTGGGATTTTTAGAGCCTCAGTTACAGACCCAGGCTTGGAATGTTCCTTAGCCCGGGTTGGAAACCAGCTGCTGGGAGAATCAGAGCCTGGCTTTCCCTCCCATGGTTCCCGAACGTCTGTGCACAGCTTTTGGGCAATCTCCACAGGGAAGGTGGCACTGACCACACACCTTGCTGTCACAAAAAGTTGCGTAAGCTTCTTCCTGCTTGTTTTGGGGCCCTTGTGGAAAGTTCTAGAAGCAACACCAGGAGGCAGCCTAACTGACTCACGAGTTGTGTTCTGGAGGCGGAGCTCCCTGCCCATGTCCCTCCCTGTTTGTGTCCCTGTTGTTGGCACCTTTGTACCAGGAGACGCCCGACACGGCCCTGGTCCAGCCCAGCAAGGGCTCCTCTCTCGGTGTGTGCCGGTGAGGCTTGGCCAAGGCCGAGTCGGATCCTCCCCAGCCAGCCCAGAATACAGCCCTCGCCCTCCGCGTCCACATCTTGGTCTCTGTCCCAGCCGGGCAGGACGGGATCTGACCGCGTGGCTTCCTCCAGGCTTTGTTCCGTTTTTCCCGCCGCCTCCTGCTGTCCCGGTCACTTGGTTTGTGGCACCGCCCCCAGCCACCCTGCTGGCCTGCCTGTCCTCCCATCCTGCAGTGGGGCTGGGACTGTCGGCTCCCCTCCTCCGGAATCTGCTGCATTTCCTCGTCAGGGTGCCGGGGAGGCCCCTCTGCTGTGTTGTGTGTGGCTGTCACGTGTGGCTGCGTGACGTGCCCTGGTGCAGATGAGCCACAGCGAGCTTGTTCGTTCTCCGCCGGCCAGCACCCAGGTGGCTGGCAGTATTTTGCTGGCAAGTGATGCCGCTCTGAACATACGATGAGCATCCGTGTAAGTGCCCCTTGGACACACATGGGGGCCTGTCTAGCTCAGCGGCTCTCACTGGGGACATCCGTGATCGTCACGACCGGGCAGGGGTCCTCCTGGCACAGAGTGGGTAAAGGCCAGGGACGCTGCTCAGCACCTGCAGTGCCCAGGGCCTGTCCCCGAGTGTCAGCAGTGGCCAGCGGGGTGTGCCGAGCTGTGGAGGCGGCGGGCCCCAGGGCAAGAGTGTCCTGGTCGTCATTTAAGTGCTGTTTGGCTTGTGCCCTGCTGGTTCCCCGTCCATTACACGGAGCACACTTATCTTCCCCCCTTTTCTAAGTTAATAAAGTTTATTTCCTAGAGCAGTTTGAGTTCACATCAGAAGTGAGCAAGAGGGACAGAGTGTCCCACAGCCGGCTGCTGGTTACGGCGGACGAACCTCTGTAGACGCGTGCGCATCGCTCAGTCCACAGTTCACGCTGGGGTCCGCTCTTGGTGTCGCATGTCCTGTGGTTGGGACACATACGTGACGGTGTCTGCCACAGTAGTTTCCTACGGCGCGGTCCCGCCACCCTCAAAGTCCCCGGGCTCCACCTACTCCTCCCTCCCTGCCCCCAACCCCCGGCAACCACTGATCTTTCACCGTCTCCATAGTCGCTGCCTGTTCCAGAATGTCCCATAGTTGGAATCATACAGTGTGTGGCCTTTTCCGATGGGCTGCTTCCTTTTTTTGACAGCTTCATTGGATATAGTCAATGTACTGTTCAATTCACCCATTTAGAGAGTAGAGTTCAATGATTTTAGGTACATGTAAGAGTTGTGCAGCCATCGTTGTATTTAATTTGAGAACATTTCATCACGTCTAAAGGAAATCCTGCACCCCCAGCTAGCACACTCATATTCCCCCGTCCCCAGCCCCTGGCACCACGAATCCACGTCCTATCTCTGGATCTGCCTGTTCTGGACATTTCACATAAATGGAGTCTCACACTGTGTGTCCTTCTGTGTCTGGCGTCTCTCACTGAGCACAATGTCCTCAAGCTCCCACCACGCTGCGGCCTGTGTCAGAGCCTTGTTCCTGTTCGTGGCCGAGTGATGTTCCACGTGTGGATGGACCGTGTCGTGTTTACCCATCCATCTGTTGGGGGACACTGGGCTGTTTGCAACCTCTGGCTGTGGTGACCGAAGCTGTGTGAACACGCGTGTACAGGCTGACATGCCTCGTCCTTCCCGTCCGTGTCACCTCTGCCTGGCGTCAGAGCCGGTCCTGTGTTGGAGGGCTGGTGCCGTGTTTCCTCTGGGCACGCGAGGGGCGCTCACCGCTGGCTGGGTGAACAGGTGGGGGAGGCAGTTGTCGGTGGGCTCTCTATCCGGGGTGGGCTTCCAGCGGCCCCTGGAACCCCTGCAGCTGTACGTAGGGTGGACACGTGCTCAGGCTATTTTCCTAATAGCCAGGTGTGGTGGCCGCACCTGTAGTCCCAGCCCCTCGGGAGGCTGAGGTGGCAGGATCATTCGAACCCAGGACTTGGGGCAGGGCCAGGGAAGGGGAAGAGGCATTTTTCTGGAAAAGAAGGGCCATCCTCCTTCAGGTTCTCAGGTGTGTGATGGCCGAAGTGTAGAAGTGTAAAAGCCCCTGCAGGGAGGGACCCTGGACCTGGGGCTCACTTTGACCCCAGGTGCCATCTGCACGTTGAAGGCCACCTGCCTGTGGACACCAGCGGGTGGGAAGGGTTGGGCTGGAGGGAGGCAGAGAGCTGCCCTTTGTGTATGTTGCCTTCTCTTCTTCCTGGGCAATGGGCAATGTCTGGGGACATTTGAGATTGTCACGACAGGGGGCTGCTGTTGGCACGGAGTGGGTAGTGGCTGGGGACACTGCTTGGCACCCTGCGGGGCCCAGGACACTCCAGAGAGTGGAGGCCCCACCCAGCCCCAGTGTCCATAGTGCGGAAGGGGAGGCCCCCCCTTAGGGGCGTGTGGTAAGCCACGGGGGAAGGGGGCCTTGTTGGATGTTGGAGGGCTAAGGGACAGTTTCTAACAAAGAAAACCCCCCTGGCCTTTTGTGGCGTCCGGGTGCAGCCCAGGTGACGAGCTCCTTTGAGCACAGCTGCCGCATCAGACGACCAGGGCTGCAGACGGTTGGAACGTGCTAGTGACAGGCACCCTGCCCCCCACCGTGAACTCAGGGAGTTAGGATAAGGCCTCAGAGGGGGCGGGGTGACGGCTGCAGAAGCTGCCCTGGCAGATAAGGTTTGAGCCTCTGGAAGGAAGTAGGGACACTGGGGTGTGTCTGTGTAGGGCAGGTCTCTCCCCCTGGGCACTGGGGACACTGGGACTGGATCCTTCTCTGGGGAGGGCCGTCCTGGGCACTGCAGGTGCTGAGCAGTGTCCCTGCCTCCACCCACTCCATGCCAGGAGCACCCCCTTCCCCAAGTTGTGGGGAGAGTGTCCCCAGACATCACTCAGTGTCCCCTGGGAGGCAGGACCACCCCTGGCTGAGAACCAGTGATAGAGGGTGACGTGTTCACTGTAGCGAAAGCTGCTCTGAGCATGAAGTACGAGGAAGATCCCTGACCCCCATGAGTGTCCACAGCACGCCAGGGTGATGACGCGTGTGCTTACAGGAACACTGGGCACGGGACGCCAGCCGCCCTCACTGAGGGGGCCTGGGGACCTGAAGGAAGGGCTGATGGCGCTCTGGGTCTCACACCCCGCACCCCGGCTTTAGGGTCCTTCAGTCTGATCTAGATCACACCGTGCACGCGGGTGGGGACACGGGGGCTTTCGCTCGTGGCCAGCCTGGCGCCCGCAGACCCAAACTGGAATATGGAGGACGAACGGCCTTTGTCCTGGGTGTCCCTGCAGATGGAGGACGGCCACAGTCTCTTCGACTACAACGTCCGCCTGAACGACACCATCCAGCTCCTGGTCCGCCAGAGCCTCGTGCTGCCCCCCGCCGTCAAGGAGAAGGACCCCGAGCTCTCCGACACGGATTCCGGCTGCTGCCTGGCCCAGAGCGAGTCCGACAAGTCCTCCACCCACGGCGAGGCGGCCGCCGAGACGGACGGCAAAGTGGGCCTGGCGGACGAGGCTGCGTGGGTCGAGACCGGGCTGGGTCTGTACAAGGTGAGGCTCTGGGCTCCAACACCGTCCCTGCCTTGTGGTCTCCGCACACTCGGGGCCCGCGGGGAGTACACCCCACTCCCCCCATCGTTGCTGGCCCTGGCTGCACCACTCGGACCTTGTTGAGAGCAGCCAACCCCCTCCCTGGCTCTGGCTGGGCAGCCTCCGTCCCACGGTAGAAATGACCAGGGGGTGATTTCCTGCACGTTCCTGGCAGGGAACATACGGTTGTGACTCTCTAGAGTGGAGTCCTCTGTTGGGGCCTGCAGGTGTCTTCTCTGTGGCCTTTGCAGTGACTGTGGAATTTCTGAATTTGCTGCCACCGTCTAACATCAGGAGGTGGCCGGGTGCAGTGGCTCACACCTGTAGTCCCAGCACTTTGGGAGGCTGAGATGGGAGGATTGCTTGAGGCCAGGAGTTGGAGGCTGCAGTGAGCTGTGGTCGTGCCACTGCACTCCAACCTGGGTGACAGAGCGAGAACCCCGTCTCTTAAAAGAGAAAGAAATTTAACAGAAAGATCTAGATTTCCAACTTCTCTTGACAAACGGCAGCTCTCGTCTCGCTGGGCCGCACAGCAGCTGTGGCTAGAGCGTGGCAGCAGGGCCTCCTGTTGGGATAACACCTGCACCCTCCACTCCCCATCATCCTTGTCTGGGCTGCCTTCTTCCTGCGGTTCTTATCTGGGACAGTTCTGTCCCTCGGGACACAGCGATGTCTGGGGACAACGGCAGTAGTCGTGACTTTGCGGGGGATGCTCCTGGCATGGGGTGGGTGGAGGCCAGGGACGCTGCTCGCACCTGCGGGGTCCAGGATGGCCCCTCCCAGGGAACGATCCAGCTGAGCGTCACTAGCGCTGCGGCGGCTAAACCCCGCTGCGGCGTCTGAGTTCGCATCCCGGTTCCCGAGCACCCAGCGCTCTCGGAACCACGATCGGCTCTCAGCGGTGTCCCTTTCCCAGGTCAGGACGAGAACTTCCTTGTTCCTCTCAGGTCAACGAGTACGTGGATGCTCGGGACACGAACATGGGGGCATGGTTCGAGGCGCAGGTGGTCAGGGTGACACAGAAGGCCCCTTCCCGGGACGAGCCCTGCTGCTCCACCTCGGCGCTGGAAGACGATGTCATTTATCACGTGAAATACGACGAGTGAGTGTGGTGGTGGGTGGGCTCTTTGGGGCACGTCATCGTTGGCCGCGTGTCCTCAAGCTGGACCTTGGTACTGTCTCGGGATGGTGATTAGGATCTGGGGGGCCCCATCCTCGCATTCCCTAAGAACACACGAGGCCACCTACTCGGGGACCAGCCAGGCTGGCCCTCCTCGGGTCATCTTGGAGATCTCGGCTCAGCCCAGCCAAATTGCTTGCTGTGCTCCCCCTGCCCCATTTTATTTCATTCATGCTGCTTGTTTGCACGTGGACCCATCTTTCGTGTTTGTTTCTCTTCCCTGCCTGGAACATAAAGCTCCGTTTCCAGCGCATGTATTTATTGGGCGCTTACTGTGTGCCCGGCCCTGTGCTGGGCTCGGGGCGGGGGATACACGTTGGTGAACACAGATGGCGTCTGTTCAGGCTGGTGCAACAAGATGCCAGAGACTGCGCGGCTCAAACAACAGACACTGACTTTCTCACGGCTCTAGAGGCTGAAGTCCAAGGGCAAAGGATATGGTCAGGGAGGGTTATGGTCCTGGCTTGCACGTGGCTGCCTTCTCGCTGTGTCCTCGCCTGGTTCCTGTTGCTCTGACGATCCCTTCCTCCTGTAGGGACACCGGTCCTATCAAATGAGAGTCCCACCCTTGTGACCTCAGTTAACCCTCATTACCTCCCTCAGTGTCCTGTCTCGGATATAGTCGCATTGTGGGTTAGGGCTTCAACATGTGACTCTCAAGGGGACACGATTTAGTCCACGACAGAGGGCGAAGCCTGCCTGCCACACATTTAGGGGGCACAGGGGGTGTCCTTCGGTTCCGTGCCGGGTCCCTTCTGCCTAACAGTTTCTGGCACATGCTAAACTTAGCTCTGTAAAAATTATTGGAGAAATTGGATGGTGTGAATCACAGACACAAGATTCACAGCCTCTTGGTTGGGGGTCTCCAACTGCAGCCCCAGGCCCAAACGTGGCCCGCTGCCTGTTTTTGTAAATAAAGTTTTATCGAAACGCATCAGCGCCCATCAGTTTCCTGCCCTGTCGACGGTGGCTGTCCTGCTACACCCTGTGGCAGAGTCAGGCAATTGTGACAGAACTTCCAGCTCACAAAGCCAAAAATACTTACTATTTGGCCCTTTGTAGAAAAAGGTTGACCCCCTTTTCTTGGTGGTTTATGGGAAAGTGATGAGTCCCAGGCAGTAGAGCACCAGGATAGATCTGGGGTTTGCCCTCTCACTTGAGGCTAACTTTGTAGGTGACGGTAGCACGAGAACATTCTATCTTGTGCTTTTTCTTATGGCTATTGGCAAATTCCTGTATGTCTTGAATGATGACTTTCCATTATGTTCCAATATCTGATATGCTGTATTTACATAAAATAATGTATGTTCCGCTACAAAAGTCACTTTCAGTACTCACATGTTGAAACAGTGTATTTTTTTTTTTTTTTTTGAGACAGAGTCTCACTGTGTTGCCCGGGCTAGAATGAGTGCCGTGGCGTCAGCCTAGCTCACAGCAACCTCAAACTCCTGGGCTCAAGCGATCCTTCTGCCTCAGCCTCCCGAGTAGCTGGGACTACAGCATGTGCCACCATGCCCGGCTAATTTTTTCCCTCTATATATATTTTTTAGTTGTCCAGATCGTTTCTTTCTATTTTTTAGTAGAGACGGGGTCTCGCTCTTGCTCAGGCTGGTCTGGAACTCCTGACCTTGAGCGATCCACCCGCCTTGGCCTCCCAGAGTGCTAGGATTACAGGCGTGAGCCACCGTGCTGGGCCCCAGTAGGTGCAGTTTTGAGCCCAGGAGTGATACACTTTGAGCTACGATTGAGGTTGGCCTTGGCTGCCTGGCAGGGAGTGGACTGCAGGGTTAGTGTGGCAGCTGTGAGACAGGGGGAGGCTGCCATGGTCACTGGGGGCCGGATCTTGGAGCTGGTGTCATGTTGCAGTGATGTCCCTCATGTCCTCCGGGGTGGCAGAGGTCTTGCCTGGTCCCTAACCGTGTGGACGCAGGACCCTCAGAGGCTTGGATGTCTCCTCCAGGGACTGGCCCGCCCCAGCACTGGGGGCATCCTGGGTGCCGTCCCTCCCTGCACGGGCGAGAGGCCAGTGCTGCGTCAGGGCCCCGACTGGCCCGCACAGGTGGCCGACGAGCACTTGCCGTCTGAGTTTGCGTCATCAGCCACGGCACGCCTGTGCTGGGGTGTCGGGGTGGCTAACTTCTGCACAGGGCCAGATCGTAAATATTTCGTCTTCGCAGGCCCGAGGGGCTCTGTTGATCCCACCCAACCCTGCCGGACCTGAAGGGTGTGGCTGTGTACCCGTACAACTTTATTGACTAAAAACAATCGACGCTACGTGTAGGTCCCTAGTCTAAGTATTATCTAAGTACTCAGCACCCCGATGCACTGCTTTTAGCTGCATTGTTTAGCGTTTGGGAGGGCTTGTGGGTTTCAGTGTGTGTGTGTGTGTGTGTGTGTGTGTGTGTGTGTGTGTGAGAATGTGTGTGCGCGCATAGCTTGGATGTAAAAGTAGTTTTTTGAGCCATTGCGTTACCATGAGAAATCGCTCTGTGGAAGGTGCCACTGAATGAGGGAATCGGGCAGAGTGTGTCGCAACCCGAGGCGATGTCACTAACCTGCCTCTCTCCCTCACGGAAGAGAATCCTTTCCCGTTCCCCTTGGAGGCCAAGAAACACGAGGGTGATGAAAGTATTCTAGAATTGATTGTGCTGATGGTTGCGCGGCACTGAACGTACTAGAAACGGTGAATTCTGTGCTCTGACCGGGTGAATCGTTTGGTTTATAAATTATCTGTCCACGAAGCTGGGGTTTTTTTTTGTTGTTGTTTTTTTTTTTTTTTTTAAAAGAAAAATAGCACGAATTAGAAGAACTCCCAAGCCCTCCTTGGGATCTTGCTTCGACCTTTTTAGTGTGAAAACTACCCGGAAGGTGGGAAGGAGGCTGGCCCTTCCTCCTGCTGTCTTCTGTGGCCTCACCTCTGCCCCTATTCTGGGACAGGATTTTGAAAATGGTCTGTGCGCAGCGGTTAGAATAGCCCAGAAAAGGCTCACCTGCTTCCAAAAGACCAGTCGAGGCTGAGTGCTTCAGAATGTCCCGTTTCAGACCCACGTTCGTGTGCGAGGGCACAGCAGCCTGCTCTGATGGCGGCGTTGACGTTGGTGTTCCCAAGGCTGGGCCCGAGGAGGGCGGGTCTGGGCCGTGTTAGAAGGCAGAGGTTCCGTTTGTGCTTTGCCACTGCTGCGAGACTTTAGGTAAACCACTGCCCCTCTCTGGGCCTCACGTTCCCGATTGTACGATCAGAGGCCGGCCAGGACCCAGGGTCCTACGCGCACATGCTCCCTGGCATCAGGGACGGAGGTGACAGGGCTCTTTGTGGCAGCAGCTGCCACTGCTTTTGGCTAATTGGTGCCAGGGAATCTCAGCCTGAGATTGCTGGGCCTTCGATTTTCTGAGAAAAAAACACTGGGCACAGGGCCCAGCACCTGGTCACCTCGTGACAACCTCCCCGAGGTCCTTAGGTGCACAGAGGGCAGCTGCCCCCAGGCTGGCAGGGGCCAAGGGTCTGGCTCGGGCTACCTGGCTCTGGTGTCTGTTCCCTTCCCGCTGTGCCTCCTGCATCCCCCAGAGGGCTCGGGACACGCATGGGAATGAACAGAAGAACCCAGAAAGCAGCAGGTGCAGGCTCGCCAAGCCCCTTAGTTTCCTCTTCCTTGCGACAGTCCGGTCCATGTGCATTCAGATAGCAGTTTCCGCTTCTGGGATGGGGACTGAGGGGCAGGCGGCAGGAAAGAGAGCCGCTTCTCACCGGGTGTCACCCTCTCTCTCTGCACCCCTGGAACCTTTATTTTTATTTTTATTTTTGGAGACGGGGTTTTGCTCTGTCATGCAGACTGGAGTGCAGTGGCATCATCATAGCTCACTGCAGCCTCCAACTCCTGGACTCAAGTGATCCTCCTGCCTCAGCCTCCTGAGTAGCTGGGACTACAGGTGTATACCACCACGCCCAGCTAATTCTTTTCTATTTTTAGTAGAGACAGGTTCTCGCTCTTGCTTAGTCTGGTCTCTAACTCTTGGCCTCAAGGGATCCTCCCACCTTGGCCTCCTGAAGTGCTGGGATTAGAGGCGTGAGCCACCGCGCCTGGCCTGAAATTCTGGCTTCTGTGTCGTTTTCCTTTTGTGTCTGATTTAGCAGGACTTTGACCCACAAGGGGAATAGCTGAGCTTCTGCACGAGGCCCCACGAAGCCTCCCGTCTGACGTAGCTAGAGCCAGCGGTGTTCACGTGCTTTGAGAGTAAATTTAAGGGGCAGGGTCCTCTCTGAGGTGCCTCCGTGGGGTTGGGCAGCCAGAATGTTCTAACCTGCTCGTCTCTCCCAGGGATGATTCTCTCAACGACTGTCGCGTCGTCTTTGTGGACGAAGTGTTCAAGATCGAGTACCCGGGCGAGGGCAGTCCCATGGTTGAGAACCCGACGAGACGTGAGTTTTGAGCCCGCCTCCCCCGTCTCCCTTGGCGGGCGTGGGGGCTTCCATGTTCCATCCCCGGCCTGGCTGACCACCGGAGCTGACCCGCCCTCCGTGTGCAGGCAAGAGCGGGCCCTCCTGCAAGCACTGCAAGGACGACGTGAGCAAGCTGTGCCGGGTCTGCGCCTGCCACGTGTGCGGGGGCCGCGAGGACCCCGACAAGCAGCTCATGTGCGACGAGTGTGACATGGCCTTCCACATCTACTGTCTCTGCCCGCCCCTCAGCAGCGTCCCCAGCGAGGACGAGTGGTGAGTGGGGCTCTGCCGCCTCTGGGGCAGGGCGGGCCATGGGCACGTGGCCTGCGTGGGCCCAGGCCTCTGGGCACCGAGCTCTTAGCGCCCGCTAGGATAACCTTGGACAGGGACGGGAAGGTCGTGACTTGCTGGGCTCTGGTCTGAGGACCCTCTGTGTTATCAGAGGTATTTTCCCTACAGCTCGGATGTAGGAGCTGTCCTCGCCGCCCCCTGAACCTCATGGAGATGGGGAAACTGAGTCACAGCGGGGGAGGGCACCTGTTGAAGTTCCCCATCCCTTTCCTGTACCACGGTGGTGTTGGCTGCCGCTGCTAGGGACAGCTTGGAATTCTAAGCAGGAGAAGGACGGGAGAACCCACTGTCCCGTAGAATATTCCGTGACAGTGGGAACGTTCTAGTTCTGTGCTGTCCAATCTGGTCGCCACGAGCTGCACGCAGCTGCTGAGTACTTCGGTCCACGCGGGAGGGGCTGGATTTCTGACTTTATTTAACTTGGATGGATCGAAATGGCACTAAATGGCCCCGTGTGCCGAGTGGCCCCATTTTGGACAGGCCAGGACAACGGTAGTGCCAAGAGGGGCCAGGTGTGGCTTGCGTCAGCCAAGACGGCCGTGTGCTGGGGCTACGGTAGCGAGCGTGACGAGCTGTCCCCGCAGGTACTGCCCTGAGTGCCGGAACGACGCCAGCGAGGTGGTGCTGGCCGGAGAGAAGCTGCGGGAGAGCAAGAAGAAGGCCAAGATGGCGTCGGCCACGTCGTCCTCGCAGCGGGACTGGGGCAAGGTGAGGTGTGGCCCCTCTCGCCACGTGGCCCTGCCACCCTCCTCCCGCCCTGCTGGGGCTCACGCTGCTGTCGCCTTTGTGTCTCCGCCGCCGACAGGGCATGGCGTGCGTGGGCCGCACCAAGGAGTGCACCATCGTCCCGTCCAACCACTACGGACCCATCCCCGGCATCCCCGTGGGCACCATGTGGCGCTTCCGAGTCCAGGTACCCGCCTCCTTCCGGGGCTCGTGGGCTCGTCCTGCCTGTGTTGGGTGACACCCCTGGCGTCGGCCAGCCGGGGCCGAGGGAGTTACGGGATCCCAGCGGCGTTGTGGCTGGCTGGGGACGGCGGGAAAGGCCTGGAGGTTCTGGTTTATTCCCGTAGCTCCCCAGGGGCCTGGAAGCGGCTCTGAGGGGGTTTAGGTGCCTGTCTGGCCAGGGCCGTTTTGGTTTTTTTTTTTTTTTTTTGAGGCAGAGTCTCACTGTGTTGCCCGGGCTAGAGTGCCGTGGCGTCAGCCTAGCTCACAGCAACCTCAAACTCCTGGGCTCAAGCGATCCTCCTGCCTCAGCCTCCCGAGTAGCTGGGACTACAGGCATGCGCCACTATGCCCGGCTAATTTTTTATATATATATATTTTTAGTTGTCCAGATAATTTCTTTCTAATTTTAGTAGAGACGGGGTCTCGTTCTTGCTCAGGCTGGTTTCGAACTCCTGAGCTCAAACAATCCGCCCGCCTCGGCCTCCCAGAGTGCTAGGATTACAGGCGTGAGCCACCGTGCCCGGCCTGGCCAGGGCCTTGTGAGGCCATTCCCAGAAGCTGCTATTCCAGGGGAAAGGTGGTGTCAGCTGAAATGGACCCGTGTTAGTCTATACCAGTGACACTCCCACCTCTAACTGGGCTGTGGCCGAGGCGCCAAGGCAGACCAGACTTCGGTGCTGGTGACACTGGGGCCGGATGGTTCTCCGGGATGGGGCCGTCCTGGGCTCTGCAGGGCGCTGAGCAGCGTCCCTGCCTCCACCCACCCCATGCCAGGAGCAGCCTTGCCCCAGTTGCGACAACCACAGATGTCCCCAGACATCGCCCAGCGTCCTCTGGGGGGCAGGATCACCCCTGGGTGAGACCCACTGAGCTAGATGAACAAGACAGTGCCCATCCCAGAGGTCGCAGGGCCGGGCGGGGAGGCGATGGGCGCTCTGGAGGTGGCATCGCACTTCACTCAGCTGTCTCAGAACGTTGCGTGTTGAGTGAGTGACCGACCGAACCTCAAGTCTGCCCCATGAGGGGCGGCTTTGATTTTTAATTTTTTTTCTTTTATTTTTAGAGACAGGGTCTCACTCTGTTGCCCAGGCTGGAGTGCAGTGGTGCGATCACAGCTCACTGCAGCCTCCAACTCCTGGGCTCAAGCGATCCTCCTGCCTCAGCCTCAGCAGTAGCTGGGACTACAGGCGCCACCACACCCGGCTCATTTTTGTATTTTTCGTAAAGACGGGATCTTGCTATGTTGCCCAGGTCTCAAGTGATCTTCCCGCCTTGGCCTCCCTAAGTGCCGGGATCACAGGCATGAGCCACCATGCCTGGCCAGCCAAGGGCGGCTTTTTATATCCTCGTTTTGAACTCAGTCCCACCAGACACTGGTCACCCCCACTTTCCAGTTGCACAAGTAGGGCATGGAAGGTCAGGAGTGGGGCTGCCCTGAGGGCACGTGGCGGGGCTGGAATTCAAGCCACCTCCGTTCCTGGCGTGGCTCTGTTTCGGGGGGCGAGGTGTCTGTGATAGGCGACTGGCAGGCCTGCTGTGTTTGGTGAAAGGTCAACCACGGGCTCTTCATGGTGGGAGGGAGGGGGCGGGGCTGATCTTTCGTGTAGCTGTCATCGCAGAAAGTGCCATTTACTTCTGGGCGGTACCCGCAGGTCAGTGAGTCGGGCGTTCATCGGCCTCACGTGGCGGGTATCCACGGCCGCAGCAACGACGGGGCTTACTCCCTGGTCCTGGCGGGCGGCTACGAGGACGACGTGGTGAGTGTTATGTGCGGGGGTCGAGGAGGTTGCTTTACTTTTAAATTGTGATAAAATACACATAACATACAATGTGCCATCCTAACCATTTTTAAATGCACAGCTCAGTGGCATTAAGTCTGCGCATGTGGTTGTGCAACCGTCCCTACCCTCCACTTCCAGAATTTTCTCATCTTCCCAAACTGAAGCTCCATCCCCATGAAACACTCACTCCCCACCCGTCCCCAGCCCCTGGCACCCATCATCTACTTCCTGTCTCTGTGGATCTGACGCCTCTGGGGACCTCCTGTGAGTGGAGTCACACAGGATGTGTCCTTCTGTGTCTGGCGTCTCTCACTGAGCACAGTGTCCTCAGGGTTCATCCAAATTGCAGCCTGTGTCTGAATTTCATTCCTTTGCATGGCCGGATAACATTCCGTTGCGAGGACGGACCACATTGTGTTCACCCACTCATCCATCCGTGGTGCCTCTTGGCCGCTACGAATGTGCGTGTAGAATCCTCCTCACGTCCCTCTTTCAGTTCCTTGAGTCTGTACAGTATGATCCGGAAGTGGAGTTGCTGGATCATGTGGTCATCGTGTGTCAGTTTCTCGAGGACCCACCACACTGGTTCCACAGCGCCTGCGCCAGTTTCCCGGTCCCGCCAACAGCGCACAAGGGTCTGGTCTCTCCGCGTCCCCGCCAACACCTGTTGCTCTGTGTCTCGGGCGGTGGCCAGCCTGGCGGGGCTCGTGTTCCGCGCAGTCTCTCTTCTCCTCTGCGGAGGGCTCACCCAGCCTTCTCATCTGTTTCAGGACAATGGGAATTCTTTCACATACACAGGTAGCGGTGGTCGAGATCTTTCCGGCAACAAGCGAACTGCAGAACAGTCTTGCGATCAGAAACTCACCAACACCAACAGGTTCGTGGGAAACCATTTTCTTGTTTCTCCACCGACAGGCTTCTCTAAGCCCTCGGTTCTGTGTTGGGCGTCCTGTCCGGCACGTGGTAGTCCTGTTAACGTAGAGACATTCGGTTTTTCACTTCTCTGTACTAAAGATGTCATTCAGATGGGTTAAATAAAGCAAACATTTTCTCCAAAAGGCCAGTTAGAATAATAAGTATTTGCAGCTTTGAGGGCCACACAGTCTCTGTTGCAGCTACTTAGCTCTGTGTCGTAGCATAAAAGCAGCCATGGACCGTGTGGACGTGAATGAGCATGGCTGTGTTCTGATAAAGCTTTATTTGCAAAACTAGGTGGTGGGCCATAGTTCGCTTGAACCCCTGGTTGCAGGATGGGGATGGACTTTCTCAGCATAAAAGGGCACCATAAAGCCCAAAGGGACTGAGAGATTTGATCTAAATATTATAAACATATTGTAACAGCAAATCCTATAAATAAAACTAAAAGGCAGATGACTACTTATGAGGAAAGCTTGCAACCTGGCACATGACAGTTATGTCTTTACTATATAAAGAGCTGTTGCAAATCAACAAGAAAAACTCTCATAGAAGAAGCAAAAGACATGCAGATATTCACAGAAATGCAAATGGCCAGTGACCATGATAAATTGTTCAGCTCTAGGAACCAAATGCAAATTGAGAAACAATGGGGAGATGCTACTTATTTCCCCTGTTAAGTTGGCCAAAAATTCTAAAATATCACGAAATGCCAGGAAATAGACTAGTTTTCCACTGTTGGTAGAAATACGAACTGGAACCATCTTTTTGGAAAGCTTTTGCCTATATGTATGAAGAGCCTTAAGTGTTCTATTCACGACCCTATAATTCCATTTTGAAAAATGTGTTTGGGAGACGTTAAAAGTAATATTTATCATACAATCATTTAAAGCAGGCAGAAAAAAATCAGGAAATAGTAACTAAATATCTACAAAAAGGAAGGGTTGGTTATATATTTATTTATCTAGAAGAATACTTCAATTTTAGTAGCTGTTAAAAATCATGTTTTCAGAAAATATTTAATGCTATGGGGAACTACTCATTTATCATATTACATGATGAAATCTGGACACAAAATTCTGTGAAATCCCAGTTTACGAAAGTGCTGTTTTGCCCATAGACGGCAGTGCACGGTTTTTTCCCCTCTCAAAGGCAATGACAAAAATGGCATCGTAGTGGCAGTGGTGAGTCTGACCCTGGCCTGGTCGGCCCTAGCCCTTGGGGAAGGTCTTGACGGGACAGACCTCTGGCAGCCTGTGTCCCTTCCTGTGTGCCTCCTCGGTTTTCTCGAAGGCAGCTTCGCCATGTGGCGTGTTAGTCTCTCGTGGCTACAGTAATGAAATACCACAGGCAGAGTGGTTTAAAACAAAAGATGTTTATCCTCTCATGGATCTGGTGGCCAGAGGTCTGAACAAGGTGTGGCAGGGCTGAGGCCCTCTGAAGCCTCCAGGGGAGGCTCCTTCCTGCCTCTTCCAGCTTTGGATTGTAGCCGGCAACCCTTGGCGTTCCTTGGCTTGTAGCTGTGACACTGCATCTCTGTCTCCGTCCTCGTGTGGCCTCCTGCCCTCTGTATTTGTGTCTCTGTTCTCTTCTTATAAGGACACCAGTTACTAGATTGAAGGCTCCCCAATCCAGTATAACTTCATTGGAATTATTTTTAAATTAGGGACAGGGTCTTACTCTGTCACCCAGGCCGGAGTGCAGCGGCGTGATCCTAGCTCACTGCAGCCTCCAACTTGTGGGCTCAAGCGATCCTCCTGCCTCAGCCTCCCGCGTGCTGGGTCCTTGTCATTGGAACTTGATTGCACAGACCTTATTTCTAAAGAAGGCCACGTTCAGATGCTGGGGCTGAGGCTTGAGCACGTCTCTTTGGAGGATGTGTCCCAGCGTATAACACGTGGGGCCCCGCTCTCCCCGCAGGGCGCTGGCTCTCAACTGCTTTGCCCCCATCAACGACAAGAAGGGGGCCGAGGCCAAGGACTGGCGGTCGGGGAAGCCGGTCAGGGTTGTGCGCAACGTCAAAGGTGGCAAGAACAGCAAGTACGCGCCCGCCGAGGGCAACCGGTACGATGGCATCTACAAGGTGAGCCGGGCTCGATGCCGAGTCCCCCGCCGGGGCTGCTTGTGACCGCCGGCATCACCGCCCCCACTCTGCTCCCCACAGGTCGTGAAGTACTGGCCAGAGAAGGGGAAGTCCGGGTTTCTGGTGTGGCGCTACCTGCTGCGGAGGGACGACGATGAGCCCGGGCCCTGGACGAAGGAGGGGAAGGACCGGATCAAGAGGCTGGGGCTGACCATGCAGGTGCGTGCGGGCCGCGCCGTGCAGGCTTCCTGGTTTCTCTGTCGTCCAGAACGACTTCCTGGCTCCCAGCTCCCAGCGGGCCGCGCCTCGCTGGCCGTCACGTATACATGCTGCAGCCGGGGGGCGTTTTGTGTGCAGTGACATTGGCATCTCTGCCTGTCGCCATTTTTAGAGTTTAAAGCCAGACTTGCTCCTCCTAGGGTAGATCAGCCTGGCTCGGGGCCCCTCCTGTCGGTACGGGTCTTCTTTCCTCGACTCCTCCAAGGAAAAGCAGAAACCAGCAAAACCGGTCGCGTCCGGAGAGGTGTAGGTGGGAAGATGAGGAGACATAACCCCCTGCGTCCTCCCTCCCTCTGGCCACTGGAGCAGCTCTCTGCGCTGTAATTAGGGTGTTTTCTGCTTGTTAAGGGACTGGCTTTACAGCAGATAAGTCGTTGGGGGACTATTTCAGGAATCCTAATTGCTGTTGAGAGGCTGCTGGTGTCTGCCCCCCGGGGTCACCGAGGGCTGTCTTTGGAGCAGGTTTTAGCAGTGGGGAGTTTCAGAAGCCGAGGATGTGGGGACACGGCGGCAAGGGGGAGGCGGCGCAGCAGCGGAGGGTGAAGCAGGGTTTTCGTTCCCGACTCCCGTCTTCCTGGCAACCTAAGGCTGCTGCAGGAGGGTGACGATCTCCTGGCGAGGCGCCACGCTCAGGCGTGACTGCAGGTGCTGCAGAGGTGGGGCGATTGTCACATGATGCCCCCGAGGACAGAGGAGCCAGAGAGCCCTCGGAACTGGGGTTTGGCGGTGGTTTGTAAATGAAGTTTTACTGGGATCCAGCCACGCCTGTTCATTCAGGTGTCCTTGGTGCTCCGCTGTGACAACTGAGTGGTGGGGACCCACAGGGCTGGACGTTGCTACCGCCTGGGCCCTTGGAACGGAAGTTTGCCTGCCCTCATCTGAATCCTAAAGATGCTGGCATCTCATTCGTTGGTCGTGGTGGTGACCAGCTTGCTTTCGTGCTCACCTGGACGGCAGATGGAGGTTGGCAGGGCCATCTGCTGTTCGTCGTGGTGATGAGACAGCATTAGCTCTTGCTTGAGGCTGTACGGTTGAGTGCTCTGAGGACGAGGCAGTCCCCTTATCCACGGGACAGGTTCCAAGGCCCCCGGTGGGTGCCTGAAACTGCGGGTCACATACATGACTTTTTCTAGACGTATACACCTGTGACAAAGTTTAATTTCTTCGTTAGGCACAGCAAGAGATCAATAACTTCTCTTCGGTATAACCAAATTGCCAACGTCACTACTCATATGCTTTGGGGAGCCTCTTTTAAAAATTTTTTAAGAGTCAGGTTCGTGCTCTGTCGCCAGGCTGCAGTGCAGTGGCGTCGTCACAGCTCACTGCAGCCTCCAACCCCCGGGCTCAAGAGATCCTCCAGCCTCAGCCTTTGGAGCAGCTGGGGCTTCAGCCACCGTGCAGGCTCAGGGCGACTGCTAAGTAAAAGAAGCGTATTTGAGCACAAGTTCTGTGATACCACGGCGGTCGATCTGATGGCTGCCAAGTGACTCTCAGCTGGGCAGCACAGACAGTGTGGATGTGCCGGACAAAGGGATGACTCCGGTTTCGCTGGGACATAGTGGGACAGCACGAGATTTCATCACAGTACTCAGAACCAAGCGCAATTTAAAACATTCGGGTTATTTCTGGAATTTTCCATTTTAATGTTTTTGGTGGACTGTGGGTAAGGGGGAGGGCCTGTCGTGTGCGCTTTGGGGGCATCGGGGAGCAGGTGCGTTTGAGGAGCCAGACCGGGGGAGGGCTCGGGAGCAAAGCATGCAGTGGAAGACGGGCCTGGGCAGCGGGTGGCCCGTCCCTCACGGCGGGTCCTCTGCCCTGCAGTATCCGGAAGGCTACTTGGAAGCCCTGGCCAACAGGGAGAAGGAGAAGGAGAACAGGAAGAGGGACGTGGAGGAGGACGAGGAGGAGGAGGAGGCGGAGGCGCGGGAGCAGGCCAGCCTCAGGTCCACCAGGCCGGGCAAGGGCAAGTGGAAGCGGAAGTCGGCAGGTGGGTGTCTTGGCAGTGGCCTGTCTGCGGCCCCGCGCACAGCCCCCCGGCTGCCGGCTCTGCTCACCCGCTCTGCTCTCTCCCAGGAGGCGGCCCGGGCAGGGCTGGGTCCCCGCGCCGCATGCCCAAGAAAACCAGGGTGGAGCCCTATACCCTCACTCCGCAGCAGAACAGTCTCATCAAGGAGGACAAGAGCAACGCCCGGCTGTGGACCGAGGTCCTCAAGGCGCTCAAGGATGGCCCGGTGAGCGCGGGTGGCGGGGCTGTCTGGTGTCGCTCTTGCCCCAGGCTGGAGTGCAGCCATCACATACGTGATGGAACATTCACCATCGTGACCCTTTTAGGTGCGCGGGTCTCTGGCATGGAGCACACCCGCACTGCTGCGCAACCATCGCCACCCTCCATCTCCAGAACTTTCTCTTCCTCCCAAACTGAGATTCTGTCCCCATGAAACGCTCACTCCCCATCCCCTCCCCAGCCCCTGGCACCCACCACTCTACTTCCTGTCTCTGTGGCTCTGCCTGTTCTGGACGATTCACACAAACGGAGTCTCGCACTGTGTGTCCTTCTGTGTCTGGCGTCTCTCACTGAGCACGACGTCCTCAAGGTCCCTCCACGCTGTGGCCTGTGTCAGAATTCCCTCCCTTTTTGTGGCTGCGTGACGTTCCAGCGTGTGGACGGACCACGCCGTGTGTGTTTATTGATCTAAGGGACACTCAGGTTGTTTCCGCCTTTCGGCCGCTGTGGCTGTGACCGTGGTGTGCGAATCTCCCTCTCGACTTTGTTCCCAGGCGTGGGAAATGCCAGATCACGTGATGGTTCCACGTTGAGGTTTTTGAGACCCCACCAAACCTGGGGTGTCTCACGGCGATGCTCTTGCCCTCGCGGCAGGTGACACTGACGGGTCACTGCAAGCGAGCGGGTCCGTGCCGGTCTCACCCCGCCCCTCCCCCAGTTCCAGGCGTTCCTGAGCAAGGTGGGAGAGGCGTTCCAGTGCATCTGCTGCCAGGAGCTGGTGTTCCGGCCCGTCACGACCGTGTGCCAGCACAACGTGTGCAAGGTGAGTGGAGCCGTGCTTCTTGCGCGGCGACAGTGGCGGGGGCCGGGGTGGAAGGTTCTGGAAGGATGCCCTGACCTCCCGCTCCCACGTGAGGTTCTGTGCTTCGCTCTGCTCAATCTGTGGCCTTTCTGGGCATCTTCTGTCACACCCTCAGATCCTCCAGGGTCGCCCTGCTTCCTGACCTCAGCCGCAGCCGCCTTGCTGGGAGGCACTCGCTGCCTCACCCCCGGGCCTGGGACATTCTCCCCCAGCACTTCATGTGGCCTCGGGTCCGGGGCAGGAGGGCGTGGGCTGCGGTCCTGGCCCGGGGTCTAGACAGGGAGGTATGAGGTGCACGCCGCTGGGGGCAGCAAGGAAGGCTTTCTGGAAGGGGTGGCACCGGCCTGGCACCTGGAGGGGTCTTGGGGCAGTATCCTAGGTACTCGGAATGGGACATGCAGGAGCAGCTGGGGGTTGGGGAGGTGGGTCCCAGGGTGGTCTTTTATTCTGTTAATGGGCGAGGTCTCACTATGTTGCCGGGGCTGTTCTTAAACTCCTGGGTGCAAGTAACCTCCTGCCTCGGGTGGCTGGGACGACAGGCACCTGCCACCACTCCTGGCTCCTGGCGGCAGTCTCCCGGCTTAGGCCGGTGGTCAGTTTCAGGGGCTTTTGGAGATACTGGCCGAGATGGGCGCCACGGTCTGCCCTGGGCACTGTGGACATTGGGCCGGGTCGTTCTCTGGGGTGGGGCCGTCCTGGGCACTGCAGGTGCTGAGCAGTGTTCCTGGCCCCCACCCCCTCCATGCCAAGAGCATCCTCTAGTCGCAACAATGACAGATGTCCCTGGACATGGACCACCGTCCCCTGGAGGCAGAAACGCCCAGTTGGGAAGTATTGGCCCAGGGGAGTGGTTTCTTTGCAGTGACCTCTACTCAGAGCCAGCCAGTCCTGACAGGCGTGGAAGGGACTGTCCCCACGCCTGGTCTCCCTTGGTTTCTGAGCTGCTGGTGGTTGTGCTTTCTGAGCCGTGGGCCACACTCTCTGGGTAGAGCTTTCACACTAGGAGAGGAAGTCGGAGAACGTTTAGGGATTGGATGTTCCAGGTCAAGCTCTTGGCACTTGTGCCCTTTCTGACCCCGCCTGCCACACACGGTGGCTGGAGTCCCCTCAGCTGCGTGGGCCACCCCTCCTACTCGGGGGGAGCCAGCCGAGAGATGCCCCTGGCCATCTCGAGTGCTCAGGGATGGGCAGGAGGCCCTGGTGTCTTTGGGGTCAGCGGCCCAGAGTTGATCTGTCACTCCCATCCCAGCTGGGGACCTTGGGAAGCCACCTAAACCCGAGGCCCAGTTGTCACAGTGGGAAGGGGCCTTGTAACACCTTCCTGGCCAGGCTGTTGGAAGGTCCTGGCTCAGCCTCTGGCGGGAGGCAGGTGGTCGGTGGGTTGGTGCAGGCGGAGGCCTGGGCCGCGCGGTGGGGTGGGGAGCATGGCTGGGGCGTCAGGGAGCCACTGTCAGGATTGCCTCTGGCCTGGGGGCGTTCGGAAGCGCTGGGGGTGTGAGGGAAGAGGCTCACTGGCACTGCCGTGTCCCTGCCGTCTGCCTCTGCTCCTGTGTCCGTCTCGGGAGGCTCAGCTTCTGAGCTACCAAGTGGCCTGGACCCGCTACCACGACTGTTTTTTTTAACCCTGTTGAGAAAAATGTTTTATTGTAGCAAAATATACATAAAACTTTCCATCTTACCCATCTTTAAACGCACGGCTCAGTGGCATTAAGCGCATTTACACTGTTGTGCAACCACCACCACCCTCCATCTCCAGAACTTTCTCGTCTTCCCAAACTGACGCTCTGTCCCCATGAAACACTCACTCCCCACCCCCTCCCCAGCCCCTGGCACCCACCGTCCTGCTTCCTGTCTCTGTGGATCAGACGACTCTAGGGACCTCCTGTGAGTGGAATCACACAGGATGTGTCCTTCTGTGTCTGGCGTCTGCCTGAGCACGATGTCCTCAAGGTCCATCCACGCTGTGGCCTGTGTCAGAGCCTCGTCCCTTTATAAGGTTGGGTAATATTCCAGGCATATGGGCGAACCACACATCCATGGCCTCGGGGTCGCTCCCACCTTTTGGCTACTGTGACCAGTTCTGTCATCCGGAGCCGGATTGTGATGGCACGCCCAAACCTTAGCTGTGTTGAGCAGAAAGATGTACCTTTTGTTTCTGGAATCCAGACTATAGACTTCGTCTTGAGAAAAGAATTCCTGAGTTTTCAAAAACAGAAGACAAAAGCCACAGCCCGCATGTGCTGTGGTGTCAGCGGGGCTCTCCCTGTGTTGACACTTGCTCCCTTACCTAGATTTGTGACACCATCCTTCAGAAAGTGTGCACCTCTCCAGGTGCCTGCATACCTGTGTGCACTGTCGCCTTCCTCCCCAAGAGTCCGGCCAGGTGGGCGGTGGCTTCCCTGTTGGACGGGGAAGCTGAGGCTTGTCAGGGCCTGCCAGGCCCCAGGCCTCACGGCTCTGTCTCCACCTGGCTGCTTCCCTAGGCATGGGCTGGCTGGGATTGGAAATTGTGTTTGAAGCCAGGAGTCTGAGTCCGTCAGTCCTGGTACCTTCCATCCTTCTGTATGTCCTTCCTTTTTTTTTTTTTTTTGAGACAGTCTCGCTGTATCGCCCATGCTAGAGTGCTATGGTGTCATCATAGCCCACAGCAACCTCAAACTCCTGGGCTCAAGAATCCTGCCTCGGCCTCCTGAGTAGCTCCTGGCCTCTTTTTTCTCATTGACATATATTTGAGCATCTGTCATGTGTCAAGCACAATGCTGTGTTAGGGGAGGTGAAAAAGACATAGCCCTGGATCTCGGAGCCTGTTGTACATAATAAGCACGTTAGTAAACAGGACAAGGGCCTGGCGCCATAGCTCACGTCTGTAATCCCAGCACTCTGGGAGGCCAAGGTGGGAGGATCGCTTGAGCTCAGGAGTTCGAGACCAGCCTGAGCAAGAGCGAGGCCCCGTCTCTACTAAAAGTAGAAAAAACTGGCCAGGCGTGGTGGCACCTGTAGTCCCAGCTACTCAGGAGGCTGAGGCAGGAGGATCGCTCGAGCCCAGGAGCTGGAGGCTGCAGTGAGCTGTGATGACACCACTGCACTCCAGCCTGGGCGACAGAGGGAGACTCTGTCTCCCAAAAAAAGGGCGGGTGGAAACAGGACTCCAGAAGGCAGGAGGTGCTGTCTGGAAAGGTGAGCAGGGCGAGGTGGCAGGGCTGGCCCGGGTGGCACTCCAGGAACGTCAGGGAAGGCCGGCCCCTTTGGGGAGGTGACTGGAGCCGAGGTGTAAATGCATCGGACTCTGTCCTTGGGGACAGCCGCCGCCCAGCACAGGTGGCCAGGAGCCAGCCGATGGAGCGGATGGCGTCTCTCACCTGTGCTCTCTGTCTCGCAGGACTGCCTGGACAGGTCCTTCCGGGCACAGGTGTTCAGCTGCCCAGCCTGCCGCTACGACCTGGGCCGGAGCTACTGCATGCAGGTGAACCAGGCGCTGCAGACCGTCCTCGCCCAGCTCTTCCCCGGCTACGGCAGTGGCCGGTGATCCAAGCACTTCTCGGTAGCGGTTCACTTAACGAGTGTTCGGGGGGTCTTCAGTCGGCCCTTCTGTTGTTCTTAGTGGGCTTAACTTAAACCTAGTTTCCCCCCATTCCCTGAAAAGGCGTGTCTTCCTTTTTTTTTTTTAATCTATACATTTTCAGGAATTTATGTATTCTGGCTGAAAGTTGGACTTCTCAGTATTTTGTTTAGTTTTTAAAAAGTTATAAAGCCTGCAGTCGGTCAGCAACAAAACAAACTATGGCACGAAGGCGGCTTCTGTTCCTGATGTCACGTTCTCAGAGGTTCCCGCCACCGAGTAGCAAGAAGGCGTCCGGCTGCCCGGAACAATCTCTTTTCAAGGTTTGCAGCTTTGGCTGCCAAGGTCAAAGCCAAGTGCGTCTGTCCTCATGGCATCTTATCGTATAAAATCCGGCAAGATGGTTCCCTGCGGTGGCCCTGGGCATGGTGGGACCCAGCTGTCCGTCAAGAAGTTGTTGAAAAGAGGAAAAAAGTCTTCTCCTGCTCAGTTTGAACTCTTCCCTCGAAGCCATCCCCCCCCCACCAGGCTGCTGCGTGTCTACGATCCGCGTGAAAAATCCTCTGCCCACGTGAGCAGAGAGTTGGGGCCCCAGAGAACCTACCTCAGCTGGACTCGACTCCACGCGGGGCTGGTGTGCGGCTGACGCTGTCCCGCGCGGGAGGCCACGGAAGCTCGCGCACACAGCCACGTTCAAGTGCCTTCAGTTCGTTCGTTCTTTCTCAAGACGAGGCTCTTTTGTTTTTAGCACTGAATTTACTGAAAAATGCCAACCAGATTCTAAAAACTGTGATCATCCAGTTCTTCCTGACACTGGGTGGGTGCTTGGGGATGGTTCGAGTTTATAGATCCTTAAAATTCAATTTTTTTTTTTAACTTGACAATTGAGAAGTACAAGAGGGACTTTTTTTTTTTTTTTAAATGAACACTTTTTCTAAATGAAATTTTTTTGTAGTTACTGTATATGAACCAAGAAAGATATAACTTAGGGTTTGGTTGTCTTTTTTTTGTTTTGTTTTTGTATTTCTTTGGCATGGTTTGTTAATTTTTCTAACTTTACCAAAGTTTGCAGCTCATACCTCAACAGAACAGGGATATTTTAAATCACGTAACTCCAGACCAACTGAAGCAATATTTTTACAAGGTTTTTTTTTTTTTTTCTCCTTATTATTAGATTGTTAATGTGTTAGGGGAAGAAACAACAAAATTCTCTGTAGGCTTTTTCTAAAGTCCAATATTGGTCCAGATTTTAGATTCTCAGAATAAATGTTTTTCACAGATATATTTGATTGTGTGTTCCTGTATGCAAACAGCTTTGGAGCTCTCTGGGCACTTTTATACCTGTTTTCACAAAAATGGGGGACCAATGCTAGGCAGGTAGCGTCACCCCCACTTTACAGATGAGAAAACTGAGGCCCAGAAGATCACAGTGATGTGCCGAGGTTCTGACTGCAGCTCAGGAGGTGTTGGGCTGTTTCCTTTATAGTCTTGAGCAAGGGTCAGCAAAGGGGGTGGGGCAAAGCCAGGCTACTTCCTGTTTTTAATAAAGTTTTATTGACACCGACGCCCAATCAGCACATCTGAATAGGTATAGCAGAATCCATCTGGTCCACAAAGCTGGAGCTACTTAATGTCTGGCCCTTTATAGGCAAGGCCTTCTAGCCCCTGCTCCTAGGGCAGTCCAGTCCAGTAGAACATTCTGCGATCGTGTGGGCAGTGCCTGCCGCATCGGGGTGCAGTGTCGGTTTATAGAGAGTGGGGTGTGTGATGCCTAGAGCAAAACCCATTAGCTCTTAGGAAGAATAAATCCTGGCTTTCCTCAGTGGAACCCAGTAAAAGTAAAGCCACAGACCCTGGACCCATTCACACTGAATGGGTGAGAAACTTGCACTTGGGGCCCTTCTGTTGTCCCCTAGAAATTCCGGCCGCCTGTTTCCGGGATTGGGCAGATACTGACATTGCAGAGGGGTAGGAGGACCAGCATGTGTCGAGCCGTCATTCCTTCTAGCATGGAACCCGGCGTCACTTTCTCACCAAGGTGGGCGAGTAATGTCCCCGTGGAGAAGCTAGGTGGTGAGGGTCACCCACTAGAAGACCAGCTCTGCCTTGTGTGGGTGTCACCAGCCACATTCATCACCTAAGGAGTCACTTAACCCCGGAGGGGTGGCATCTGACTGTGGACCGGTTGCTGTTTGCGCACACCTGGGCTTCAAGAGCTGATCACCAGAAAGGCTATTTTGGGCAGAGGTCAGAAGCCAGAGATGAGGTACTGTGACAAAATCTTGGGGGAGGGTAACGGTGCTGAGTCCCGCAGATGGGGTTATTCATGTCGACCTACTGCCACCACCTTTTATTGATGGTTAAGTAACCATAGGGGCAGATCTGATTTAACTTTGAACAGTTTTGTATCTTTGGGTCCAGATAATGTCCTGTGTCCTTGAAAATGTTAATGCTAAGTGAAAGAAGTCACAAAAGATCCTGTGTGTTTCCATTCATGGGAAATACCCGACACAGACATCTGGAAACAGGAGTACATTAGTGATCACCAGGGGCAGGGCAAGCAGGGCGTGATCGATAAAGGGTACGGGGGTTTCTTTCTTTTTTCTTTTTTTTTTTTGTTTTTTTGGAGACAGGGTCTCCCTCTGTCCCCCAGGCTGAAGTGCAGTGGCATCAGCCTAGCTCACAGCAACCTCAACTCCTGAGCTCAAGCAATCCTGCCTCTGCCTCCCGAGCAGCTGGGACTACAGGCATGTGCTATCATGCCCGGCTAAATTTTTCTATATATATTTTTAGTTGTCCAGATAATTTCTATTTTTTTAGTAGAGATGGGGTCTCGCTCTTGCTCAGGCTGGTCTTGAACTGCTGAGTTCAAATGATCCGCCCACCTCAGCCTCCCAGAGTGCTAGGATTACAGGCGTGAGCCACCGTGCCCGGCCTTTGTTCTATTTTTAATAGAAACGGGGTCTTCCTCCTGCTCAGGCTGGTCTTGAACTCCTGGCCTTAAGCAGTCTTCCCACCTCGGCCTCCCAGAGTGCTAGGGTTACAGGCTTGAGCCACTGTGCCTGGCCAACCCTCTGATACAGTTTTGACCTATGTCCATTTTGCAGTCGAGGCACTGAATAGTTAAGTGGCTTACCCAAGGATATGGCAAAGCCGGGGTATGTGTGTATATATCTTCATATATTTGTTTCACATATAAACTTGACAAAATTATTACAGCACTGTACACACTCTTGTGCCTGGTTTTCTTTTCCATTCATTTCCATTCCTTTACCAAGTAGCCACTTTGTCTAGCACCTTAGTAAGCAAACAGATGTGAGCCCTGATTTTGGTGTACGCACAACTTGTGTGTATGTGTGAAAATGTGAAACAGCACATGTGTATCCAGGAAAATATGCTTGGAGTGAAATCGATCGTTAGAACACTTCCCCCAGTTTTTATTTATTTTTAGAGCTGGGGTCTCTCTGTGTTGTCCAGGCTGGAGTACAGTGGCCATTCACAGGAGCGATCGTAGCTCACTGCAGCCTTGAACTCCTGGGCTCATATGATCCTCCTGCCTCGGACTCCAGAGTAGCTGGGACTACAGGCGCACACCACCAAGCTGGGCTATTTTTAAAAAATTTTTTGTAGGCACGAGGTCTCACTATGTTGCCGAGGCTGGTCTCCTAGCTGGCCTCAAGCGATGCTCCCTTCTCTGCCTCCCAAAGTGCTGGGATTATAAGGCATGAGCTCATGATTGCACTTTTGACAATTTATTACCATTATCAAATCCCATTTCTGTCTTTCCCACAGGTTAAGGAACTCCTTGAGGGAAGTTACTATTTCCTGTTTTTAAAGTTAAAATTTAACTCCGCAAGGAATATATGAATACGGTCCCATAAGAATTCCAAACACCCAGAACAGATTCAGTTCCCCTTTGACTCTTACCAACGTGCATTTTTCCTCTTCTCCCCAAAGATGAAGTGAGCGTTCTCACTTTGGGGGTGGCCTTTGCGCGTTGCCTCACACATGTAACCTTAGAGACCCCATGACATTGGTTGCTGTGTGTGTGTGTGTTTCCGCAATGTATGTCACTGCATGCATAATTCTGGGCCATTCTGCCACTTGCTGAACAACTGGTGTGGGAGCTATTCCGTGACAGCACATATAGATCTAACCCCTTTTCAACTGCTACATAGTAATTATTTCAGAGCACTGCGAGCCACAACTTACTTACCTAATCTAATCGGCTACTGATCGACATTTAGAGCAAAACATTGGAAACAATTGCATAGGGTGCCCGGTGCCAGCATTCTTCAACAGTGTTAAGCTCCACACCTTTTCTCAGGGTTCAAAACTTCCAGGAAGAACTGCTTGCTGGATTAGAAGGTAGATGCGTTAACAACGTCATTAGAAAAGGTCAAATTGCCTGATTTACACTCCTGCCAGCCCTATGAGAAGGTGCCCACAGCCCTGACGGGTCCTTAAACAGCTAATGGCAAACACTAGTTGTTAAGGCTTCACCCTGAATGTGAAGCCAAAGGGTCAAACCCTGTACACAAGCCTCATCCCGGAGAATTCTTGCGACATTCCCAAGAGGGGAGCAGACAGGCTGTGGGGATACGACCCTCATATCCGTTTCACAGGGGAAACTGAGGTTCAGCGTGGTTCCCTGCTGGAGGCCACCCACAGTGAGGCATGGGGCACAGCTGAGCTTTGAACCCAGGTCAGGAAGCACCCGAACTCGTCCCTTTCCGTACGTTTTAGAGAACTCGGGGAGGGCACCTAACTTGTCACGTTGCAAAGCTTTGTTGATCGTGATGGAAACGGACCAGCCTGGAGTGCGGGGGGCGCTTGTCGCCTGACTCTACATGTCTCCTGTACGCAGGACTCCTCCTTTGCAAAATGGATTGTGTCGGGAGCTACGGTTCCTTTGCTGGGCACTTTGCAAATTAGAGAACACCGCACCCAACCCCGGCCACGGGTCT